GGTTTTCAGTAAATCAGTCTAAATCTGAATGCTGGATGTGTTCAGCAGGAAAGCAGCCAAAGTCTCCACTCACAATATGGGTGGTGGCTGAACATGAGGGAACTGGCTGGGAACGAACCTGGGTCTCTTCCAGGCAAGGAGAGAATTCTACCACTGAACCATCACTGACCTGCACAAGTCTGCGTCTGTCTTTTGAAAAGGGATATTCTGAGCCAGCGCAGAATGATGAGCCCCTCATCTTCGGTGGTTAGTCTCGAAACCCATAGGGGCACGTCTAGCCTGTCCTATTGGGGCCGATCGGAATCGGCTCCATGGTGCTGAGCTGGAGGGGGGACTGTTTGGTTTCTTTAACGTTCAGTAAAAAATGTTGCAGTAAAAATCACTTAAGCTTATGCAAATTAAAAGACTTTGATGGAACAAATTTTAAATTAAGGTGTCGTTTTAAAAAAAAAATCATTAACAAACTACCCATAAAAGGTTTATTTCCATCCACAACTTTACATCATTTAAAATAATCAGATGCAACAACTTTAAACATGGTAATTTATTTGTATGCAGTTGTTTAAATGCATTGTTCCAAAAATGTTCAAAAGGCACTTTAAAAACATATTTAAAAAATACATCTTTTCCGACTTAAGGTGATCACTTAAAATAAGCAAGTCACCAGACATTTCTAGAACCCATTCATAACATTATGTAATTTTAAAATCCAAAACACAAACATTCACTGTGTAAATACAACACACTGCTTAGCAGTAAGATTAGCTTCCCTCTAATAACATACTTCGTGTGGGTTATTCATTTGCAGGGGCCTGCAAGGTTATTTAAAGTTAACTCCTATACAAAGAATTCTACAGGAGGAAAGGGAGTTCACAGAATAGAGGACAACTCAACTCTAAAACAGGTTTCAGAGCTGATTTCACTAAAGAGAACTTGTAAGATTTCTTATTCCAATCTGTGCTAAAATTTCTATTTCAACTGATATATAAACCTAAGTCATTCTTTATTCAAGAGGTTATAGTTTGTTTAAAATAAACCACAGGTTGTCACCCAGATTTTTAAAGTGTTTTTGTCAGATTATAAAGAAGTATTTGAAAGCAGGCATATTACTTTTGTTTCTTAAGAAAGGGATCCATCATAACCTGCTCTTTTCAATTTAATAGTTATACATCTATAATTAGCTTGAAATAATGTTTTTTTAAAGTTAATTTTAAATGTATAGACTTTCACTTTCATTATCAGGGAAACCTTAAATTAGTAGGTACAAAATCGTCAGCCAGTGATACAATTTCTAATCACTACAAACAGGCAAATTACCCTTGTAAAGGCAGCATTAAGGGTTGCTAGGAAATGAAAGTTATAGAGGAAATAAACGTGACAAACACAGAGAAACAGAATTTGTCAGACAGAATAATAGTCTAATGAACTGAGTTTAAATAAAGATTAAAAAGCTAGAATAGCTAATCAATTGAGAGATTCTTTCAAGTACAATAGTGTCTCAATTTGCTACTAATACATGTTTGATAGGCTCGATAAAATGAGAAATACTCAAGAAACAATTATAAAAATAACCAGTTAATAAACTGAATGCTCAAATCCAATTACCATACTTCAAGAAATAGATTGGTCACTCATTAATTTTTAATCTTATTACAGTAACAAAACTTTTCTGAAATGTATCTGAAAAAAAATAACTCTAACTCAGGGCCAAAGAATGTTTTTTAGTCTATGGACCTTACACTAAAAATTACAAGCACATTGTTATTAGAAACCATCAGATAGTAAAAGCCTTGTCTTAAGACCACACTAAGTTTCATTAATTCTACATCTCAAAGCGCTTAAAGATGGTGAATGATCATTACTGTGAAGTTTGATTGCATGTGCTCGGAGTCCTTTTATTAGGTCACACAGGACAATCAACTGATTCTTGAAAGTGATGAAATTCTCATAGTAAGAATTAGCAGAAAAATATTTTGCAACTTATGGGAGTATCTTGTTACCTCTACTTATTTTACTACTGATTGTGGCCATTTTTTTAAAAATGACAAATTTACATATGCATTTAATGAATTCACATGTACTTGGTTCTTAAAGAACCCTGCCTGCCCGTGAAATTGTAAAGCTTGGAGAATTAGATTTATTTTACTGCAGCACTGTTATTAATTACTGAGAGAAGTTGGTGAAGTTTGTCAAAAGGATTCACTGACTTTTATCAATATCAATCAGGCCTTAAACAATATAAGGTGATCTTAACATTAAACCAGTTTTAAGCATGCTATATTTAAATCTTTGCAAAACCCTTAATTCTTGGTCAGTAACCTCCAAGTTTTCTATAGCCAATTTGCATCAGAATCACGTAGGCCCCAGGACAGGGGTTCTCAAACCTTAGCATATACTCACCTAGAGGTACCAAACACCAACCTTTCCCCTCTGAAGTTCCAGATACAGTAGGTGCAGAGGGAGGCCTCAAGAGCAGGTCCCCCAAACTCCAGGGGCTGCCACTGCCGTTGCTGTGCTAGCATACCTAATACGGCCAAGTCCTGGGTCCCAGGTCAGATTCAGAATTTTTAGAATTAGGGATTTGTGTGCTCTGCATTTTAACCAATTGCCAGGCTACAGTATTATGAGCCATAATTTGAGAACCACTGTGACAGTTTGGTGGGTTCATTTAAGACTGATCAATGTTTTATGTTATTTAATATAAGTAAAATGGAAATACTACTAAAGGACGAAACCCCAGCATGGCAGAAAGCGGACTTCGTGGGTTATGAGCTTTGTGACACAAAGGAAGTTACTTAGTCTCTGAACCTCAGTTTCTCCACATGTAATACTCCTGTGGGAGGATGAATGCTAATTGATACAGAGTGCCTGACATACTGGAGGCCATCGAGTTGATGCTGACTCACAGGACAGGGCAGAACTGCCCGTGAGTTCTCAGGATAATGACTTTATGGCAGTGGTTCTCAACTTTCCTAATACCGCGACCCTTTCATACAGGTCCTCATGTTGTTTGTGGTGACCCCCAACTATAAAATTATTTTCGTTGCTACTTCATAACTGTTAAGTGCGCTACTGTTAAGAATCGGAATGTAAATATCTGATATGCAGGATATATTTTCATTGTTACAAATTGAACATTATGAAAGCATGGTGGTTAATCACAAAAACAATATGTAACTCTATATTGTGAAATACTTTTTTAATAACAAATAAATGAAATTTTGTCTTGAAGCATGGTGTAGCATGGTCTTCACCGGGTACGCCTATGTGGGCATATCTGCATTTGGGTGGACCTGCCTGGAGACGAATATAGAGGAGCAGTGTCTCGGTTCCTAAGACCATGAGAAATGTTTTCCAAAGGTCTTAGGCGACCCCTGTGAAAGGGTCATTCAACCCCCACAGGTTGAGAACCGCTGCTTTATGGGCATGGAAGGCCTCATCTTTCTCCTGAGGGGTGATTTTGAACTGCTGACCTTGCAGTTAGCAAGACAACATATAACCACTATGCCACCAAGGGTGCTCAGATAAATACTATCACACATTATTGTAAAAAATATTCCATTCAGTATGATTTGATCAAATTAATTTTCCTTCCATTTGAATGGAATACTAGCACATCAAGTAATAATAAACTCTTGTTGTTCCCTACTCTGGGCCAGAGTGTTCTAAGAGCCTTAAATATATTCACTCATTTCATCTTCATATAAATCCTGTGAGGTAGGTATATTTAGACGAGAAAACTGAGGCACAGGGAGCTCAGTAAGTTGCTCAGTGTTGTTACAAAGCTAGTGAGGAAGGGAGTGAGCAGGAATTTAAACCAATTTAAACCATCTGACTCTAAATCTTCTCACTGTTAATTCTGATGAATATAATTTTAAAGTCTCTGGATGTTGATCACAAATTATCTACCTTTCTAGTAGAGAAAAATAGCATGTGTGGACTGTAAATTACTTTGTCCATAAAGTGGAACCGAATCCTTTGCTATTTATTTGGTAAAGAATACTAACATGAAAATAATACAAAAACTTTAATAAATAATCATTAATCAGTTTTCACTATGTGGGTAAAGTTATAATTGGACATGAAAATTAACATCCTCTCAAATCTGTCATCCAAAGAGGTCATGATTTTGACATGTTTTGGTATAATAAATATTTTAGCTAAGCAGCAGTGTAAATGGCATGTCAGATGTAAAAATGGCATGATGGTAAGCACAAGAGAAACACAAATCGATTATAGCAGTAAAGATAATCTCACAGAAAGTAAAATATCCTGTTATGATATACTCACATACTATTGCTAGTCAGAGAAAATTAAAATGTTCCTTTTCTTCCAGAAACATTCAAAACAAAGGATCACTAAAATTAGAATGAAACCTTTGTGAAACGCTTTTAAGATAGTTTGGGATGGGTATTCTTAATCAGCCCCAAATAGTAAGTCTGCTTCAGACTTCAGACTGTTAATTATAAAGCGAGTATATTGTTTTTTAATATCTGACATACTTTATGCACGCACCATTTTCTAATGTACCAATAAACTTTAGTCAAACGTTGCATTCTATTTTGCCAGTGTACTAAATAGCCACTTATGCTCCTAAACATGGATTTTTTAAAACTGTTTTAGCAAGTTATGAAAGGCACAAATAAGTTCTCACCTGTTAACAGAATGAGAATAAAAGGAAGTATAATTATGTAGCTGGTAAGTTTAAAAATAAAAGTAATTAAAACTGGTATGTGTAATTCCTGAGAGGCATTGAGAACAGCATCCCCAAGTAGCAGAAAGTTTACTGGTGCCCATAACTAACAGTGAGTAAATCTGGGACAAAACGCTGAAATGCGTGAGTATAGAATGCTATTAGTATGTTGAGAAAATAAATATGAATAGTGGTGAATGGTACTGAAGAGTGGTTCAACATATTTATAAAAAGAGACAATAGGGGCTTGGTGAATACTACTCACTGCAATACAAAAATTAACCACTGATTATAGCCAAGGCTCATGAACATTTTAAGGTATCATTTTATTAACACACTTTAGGCCAAGTGTTATCCTTAGTTTTGGGGGTTTTTTTTTGAGAGGATTACTGCCAATTCTAAATAGTAAACTTTTCATTAGACTGAAACTGTGTGTTTCCTTGCTTCTTCTTTTGGGGGATGGGGTGGTGGGACTTGGTTCACTGAGGCCATACTGCAAATACAAACTCTTATCTTGAGTTTACAAAAAACACTGAAAACAGTATTTCCTTTCCAAATGTTCTTTAAGGCAGAGATCTGTTTCGCTTTGTGTGGTACTAAGTTGGTGGAGGGTAGTTTTAGCGAATGGACCTGCTTTTGCTTCTCAGTGGCAATAATGTGATGTGGTTATAGAAACAGACAACAAAATATCTTTTCTAGTTTCTCTAAGCTGGCCACCATTTAGAAAACACAAGTTCTTCATATATATATATATATGTATATATTACTGTATCAAAAACACGTTTTAATACACTTCACAGCTCATTTCAAGCTTCAGTTTACAGTCGTCCGTGTGACAGGTTTCTAATCAGCAATGCTCACTGGGGTGCCAGTGTTCTCCGTCGGAAATGCAGAAGTCCTTCTCCAGTGCAGTGTTAGGACATTTAACTCTGTTCATGGGTTCAAGGATTTCCCAGTTTTACTTTTTGATCTTCATTTTTGTATGCTTCACTTATTTCCTTTCCTATATTCGCGGGTAAGGCAGGTTGATATCTGTATAAATAGCCATATGGACGGAGATGATAAATGAGGTATTCTAGCTCATACATGGTTGTTGGGTCAACATAATGAAAAGAAACTGCAAGATCAGAACAGCAACCAGGACCCTAAAAAAACAGCAGAAACGGGCGTAATTAGTAAGTAATTCATTGTCAACATGTAATACGTAATATAGGAAAAACTATTACAATAATTCAAACATTAAAACTGGTTAAAGTACAGGTGTTTAATTTATTCTACTTGTGGAAGAAACCAAGAATTCCTTGAAACCAAACACGAAACTGCCCAAGTATCTTTAACCAAAATCATATTATTTCATATACTTTCGTGTCTTGGGGGTGGGGGTGATCTTGAGATGTCTTCATATGAAAGGACAGCTATTACACAAAAGGTTCTATTTTCCCAAGTTCTGCTTTCTCTTTGTAATTTTCTCATTATATTTTTTTGTTTGACTCAGCCTATGAGAGACCTTGGAAGACTTCAGTGACTATAAAGGTCTGCCCATTTTGTCTGCATGTGATCTAGTACTTTACCAATATACTGTAATAACTGTACAGTACAGTGGTTAAGAGAGGAAGCTGTGGGGCCAGACCTGGTCAAAATCCAACTTTCACCTACTAGACGATGACACCTTGAGAGTAAATTACTTAATGTGTTGAGCTGTTAACTGCAAGGTAAGCAGTTTGAAACCACCAGCCGCTCCAGGGAAGAAAGATGAGGCTTTCTACTCCCATAATGAGTCTAAGTTTGATTGCAGTAAAGATTTTACAACTCTTCTTGGTATGATTAAACTACTGAATTATGTGAGATGTGTATGAAGTGTCAATAAAACTGTTAAAAAGGAAAAAGTGAGTCTCAGAAACTCACAGGGCAATTCTATCCTGTCAGAGTTGCTGTGAAGTGGCATCAACATGACAGCAGAGAGACAGAGGGATTAATCTCCATTTCCCCACTACAAGAGATGGCTTCTTAGGAGAAAACAAAGTGTGTAAACTGGCTTGGTGCTATGCTTTGTTTGAGTCCATGTTAGCAAGAACACTTGACCAAACAATCATATTGACATGGATCTCTGGTAAATAAGAGTCCCTGGGTGGCGCACACAATTAATTGCTCCATTATGAGCCAAAAAGTTAATGGTTTGAACGCACCCATAGGTGCCTCTGAAGACAGGACTGGTGACCTGCCTCTGAAAGGTCACAGCCGTGAAAATCCCATTCAGTGATTCTACTGGGCACATGTGGATGGAAATCAAACAGACTGTAACCAAGGGTTATACAGTTTCTTGGTCGGGTTGGTGTGAGAACAGGTTCCAAACAAAATAGCAACAAAGAAGAAAGAGCCTAGTCCCAGAGTTCACAGGCAGAAAGTGAATGTGGGGCTCAAGACTGGCATCTGTCAGGTGAGGCATCCTGAGGATGTTCAATTCAGGTGACTCCAAAAAACATCAAGGACTGAGGGAAAGAAGCAGTCTAGAGAGTTCCAGAGAAGATTCACGTTGGCTTAGGGAACATTCAGCAATTCGTGTTTAGAAGTCCACAGCTTACAATGCCATACAAATTAACAGGAAATTGACCACTGGACTTCCTTTGCCTTCCTCACTGATCTTTCACCTGGAGCAAACAATGCATATGTAGGATCCTTGGGTAAATATATCAGAAGAGTACCTACCTCTTATTGCCTTGGGGAATATTATTAGAATAGGAACAAATATAAAAAGTACATTTTTCAATATCTGATTTTTCTAAACCAGCTTTGTTCAATGGATTCATCTGAGCCACATAATACAGTTTTTATACTTTCTCAAAGTCACATGAAAAAGGTAAAAGGAAACAGGTGAAATTAATTTTATTTAGTTAACTTAATAAATATGTAACATTGTTTAAATATGCAATCAGTATTTTAAAAATAAATGACATCTTTATTTCTTGTTCTGTTTTTGAAATCAGGTGTGCAGTCTATACATAGAGCACATCTCCATCTAGACTAGCTACACTTGAAGTGCTCAGTGCCACATGTAGCTAGTGCTACCATACCGGACAGTATACACTGAACTGAAGAACCAGAGCGGGAACAGTTCCATTCAAATTGCAAAGCCTCCTAAGAGCTGTAAGACCCCCCAATAAAGTGATTAAAAAACAAAACAAAACAAATTGCAAAGCCTCTCTAAATAGTTTTTATATGACTCTGACATATTATAGTAATACTCTTGGTAACAATAAATGCATTAATTATGTTATACTTTATTGTGCTGTTTTATCGCAATGAGTTACAATTATTAGGAAGAAAACAAAGTTTCAGGTGAAAACTTATCAGAAATAAAGATTCTAGCAACACCAAAGATGTTTAAAACAAGCAAAATAAAGCCAGCTTTCATAGACACCAGTTAAAAAAAGAGAGCTTAAGTAAAATACTAACTCCAATATTACCTATCCAGAGAGATGGTCAGGAGCCCTGGTGATGTAGTGGGTTACACACTGGACTGCTAATTGCAAGGTCAGCATTTCAGAAATCACCAGCCACTTGGAAGGTGAAGGCAGGACTCCCATAAAGACTTACCGTCTTGGAAATCCACAGGGCAATTCGACCCTGCCCTACAGGGACAAGAGTCAATACTGAGCTGATGGCCATGAGTTTGGTTTACTTTTGAGAGAGCTATTTATGGAAACTATAAGCTACAAAACTTGTGCTGTTACTAGGAGCAAAGGATTAACCAGTTCAACTGCTAACAGAGGGTCCTGAGCCTACTCACTGGTGGCTTTGAAGAATGTGCTGGCATCTGCTTCTGAAGTCAGCCATTCAAAGTGTTAGGGAGCACAGGTTTCCCCTGGGACACAATCCTCACAAGTTAGAACTGACTCCACAGCAACTGTTTGGTGGATTTTAGTAACGGTTGGAGGAGTCATTTCAAATTAGTATTAAATGATACTGAAGAAATTAGTTAACAATTTGAAAAAAATCTAGACTTTCTACTTCAACTATATATCAATACATTTCAGATTCATAACAGTTAATGTAAATAAAACTGAAGAGCAAATAGAATGACCCAAAAGACTCCACACATTGCTAAATGGCTAACAAACTCAGCAACTAATCGAAAGACGAGAGATTCAGGTCATTCAGTTTCCCTCCACAAGATTGTTCTGATGCCTGGGTGGCTGTTTTCCTAGATTGTCACACAGACTGCACCCAAACCTAACAGTTCTGCTCAAGTCATCCCTTTAACTGACCCAAATCATCTCGGCCCACTCTGAGTCACTTTTCATCTCCTTAGCTGGCTTTATTTTGCTTCGGGACACTCATCACCACCTCCACGACTGCACAAGAATACTAAGACTCTGCCTCACAGTGGCCATAGTGACTGTACGTCTTTATAGAAGCAGGCAGCCTCATCTTTCTCCCACAGAGTGACTGGTAGGTTTGAACTACAGACCATGTAGTTAGCAGCCTAACACTTAGTCCACTACACCACTAGGGCTCCTTTTCATCACTACCTCAACTGGAACATAGGTTCCTGAAGACTAGACCCAGGTTTTAATTGCTACTACATTCTCAGTGCCTAACATGCAGTACCACCAATTGCTATTGGCTTTCATTTACTCTGCCACTCTAATTAAGAAAAAAAAAAAAATCCTTAGGCATTGTCACAAAAGAAACATACATGTTTTAGGTTAAAAACACTGATATCAATAGGTAAATCAGACTAAATACTTGTACAGTTACAAAACTTCTAAACTTACCTCTACAGGAGGATAATAGTTATAATTCCAGTACCAAAAGGTTTTGGGTAGATAACCTCTGATTAAGTGGTGCTCTGGTACAAAGGGATGAAAAGTCTCTTTTCCAGTAGTGTCTCTGGAATCTCCTGCTTCTACATTTAAGATCTCCATGCATCTCCCCAGGGCCAAGTCTTCAATGGAAGAACTATGCGTGCATTTGTCCGTTTTAAATGCATCAACAAATCTCTTTAAGGCTTCTTTGCTTAGTACGTATCCTGCTCCCCCACTCATGTAGCCCTGCTTTACATACGGCTTAAATCTTCTCCCAAAGTAAATGGGTTTTTCAGGGTCGTGTTTTGAGAGAAGCCATCTCAAATTGTCTAGGACCACGTAAGTGTCGTCATCTGCTTTCATAAACCAATCAGCATCGTCTAAATAATGATCATGAACATACTGAAAAGCTTTAATGGTTTTCCAATATAGTTGATCTCTACCTTCTTTCGTTTTTAATCCCACAGCAGGGAAGTCTATATTTTCTTCTGAACTCATAAACAATACTTTGTTACAACGCTGGGCCCAAGTAGCTTTGACATGCTTGGCCTTTTTCTCTAGATTTTGAGGCCCTGTCATTACCCAGCAAAGGATTTTAACTTTCTGATAGAGCTTTTTGGAGACGTCTGTGTTCTCATCTAGTAAACAGAATAAAAAAAATAAAAATTATATATCCAAATTATATTGAAGAAAGCATTTTAAAAACAACTTCAAAGACCTCTCTCCCCTTTCTATTTATCCATTTATCATTAGTGATTTGACTGGGGGGAGCGGGGAGAAACTCAACCTAATGTGAACTGGCATTTTTATTTATTGGTTTCATGTCAATCTGTCTAGTAGGCTATTGCCGCTCATAAGAGTTGTCATGATAGCTTAAATTCATACTCCTCAAACTGTTCCTTACTGACAAACAGCATTGGCATCACCTGGGAGTTTGTCAGAAATGCAGAATCTCAGGCCCCACTCCAGATTTACCGAACCATAATTGGCATTTTAACAAGTTCTTTAGGCGATTTGTATGCACCTTAAGCATTGCCTTAAATAGCCTCTGCTTCTTGACTTGATACTACAAAGAAAGAGTCTCTGGTTCTCAACAGAACACTGACAGCAATTTTCACTGCTCTGAATGAGCTTCGAAGGACGGGAGAGCCGAAGGACAGGGGAGACATGCGATTGAAGTGGCAGTAGTTAACTATTTCATCAGTTTTGAATTTCCTAGTTGATAAAGTACAACCAGATTTTGATACTTGGGAAGAAGTTATTTACTGTGAAGATAGAAGAAGCAATTCTTAATGCCCCCTGCTCCCCCAATGTGAAATTCCAATTATTTTCAAGTTGTTTATACCCTTTTTCTGTCAAATAAATCACAATTCGCAAAGACCTTTTTGGTTGCATCCTCTGACAGTGGCTGGAACTGGGCTGAAGAAAACTGGGCTAAGAAATGGATGGAGTTAAAAACCACGATTGTTGAGAGAGCCCAAGGACAGTGGCTTAGAGAAAACCAACATGTAACAGGCACAAAGTGGCTTCATTAAGAAAATCTGTTTAGAAACAGGTGGTCAGGAAAACCAGAATCAACATATCCTCAGCTTTATACTTCTCTAGTTTTCAGTGCCTTCCAAAAGGGTAACATATTGGTTTTACTAGCGACTAATAAAAATATACATTGAGTTTTTATACCTTGAGTGTCTACAAACCAAGACTAGCCATAACTAGAACTGAAGCAAGGCAAAAGCAAAAATCATAGCCACAGGCATAAACCATGGGAAAAAAAACAAAAAACCAGACCTAAAGAACAATTTTAAGAGACAAATCTAATCTGCAAAGTATGTCTTTCCTCAAATTACAGTTGCTGAACTGGTCCTACTTAGGAATAACTTTAAAATGAGTATCTTACTCCCTAAATAAATTTTATTTCAGCGATTTCCTTCTCCTGAGGTAAAGCAAGAATTGTGTAATTTAATATCTGGAATAGAGAGCTCATTTTCATCAACAACCATATAGGTTATATCACAGAATGCAAATAACTTTTTCTCCAATTCTCCTAACACTTTCTTTTTTTTTTTTAACATTTTATTAGGGGCTCATACAACTGTTATCCCAATCCATACACACATCAATTGTGTAAAGCGCATTTGTACA